TTTTTTTAGTGTTTCTGATATTTTCTTATTGTAGGAGCAAGGTTTTTTCCAACAGTCTTCTATATTCTAGCCATAAGGGGAACCCTATAGAAGCTGCTAATAAAAACACAAGAAGAGCAACTGTATTCTCATTATGAACATAATTCATGCTTGTAGAAAATTTGGAAATACATAGAACATAATAAAGAAACATGAAGGAAGTATGTATTTTTAAAGTGGAATTGACATAGTACCTATTTCTTTTATTTTTGCTTAATCTCACATTTTTACCATTCTATGTCAAATAAAAGTTAAACAGTATTTTACAGGTTAAAATTATAATGCAACATTTTGAATTATGCAACAAGTGGAAGAAACTTTAAACATTATATGTAATTCGTAAAAAACAGTACTGCAGTGAACATCATAGAAAGATAGGTAGAAAGTGACAGAGGAATTTGCACCTAGGATCTCAGGTTCTAGAATTTCTGTTCTTAACCACTGCACTAGACTTCCTCTGGCTCGTTTCAGATGACATGGGGAGAAATGCCTGCTTTTGCAATGTATTGCTGAGGTAAGACTTGTTTGGTGATTAGGTAGGGATATGGTTGAAGGAATAATCCATCATGATTCTGTTTTTTGAAGGGTTTGTGAATGCGATTGGTCTGTGTATTCAGTAAATGAGATTCTTTTAAAGCATATGTTTAAGCCTTTTTTGGTATAAAAACAAAATCGTAGATAATTTTAGTTCTTCGGGATTATTTCTGTAATATGAATGCAAAGAAGATAAAACTAAATGATTTTAAGGCCTTTAACTTTCCTGTCCTTCCATATATGCCTTTTGAAAGAATAAGTCTATTTTTATTTTCTTATTTGAATGATAGTAACTTATGGTTAGTTAACACACTGAAACTTATGAAAGTAAAATATACATTTCTTTGCCGTTAATTTTGCTCAAGAAATTCAAAGTAATTTTAATATTTCTCAAAAAGTTATAAAATAGATACTAAACATGTAACTTATCTCATACCAAAATGAATTCCATTTAGAGAAAACGCTTAAATTAAAAAATGAGACTCTAATTTCTAGGACATGGCATTGAAGAATTTTTTAAATAATCTGAGCAAGAACTATGCAACATATAAAACCATAGAAGAAAAGGTTGATAAATTTGAATATATAAAATTTAAAATGTTACCACTACACACCTGTTAGAATGATCAAAATCTGAATTCTGGCAAGGATGTGGAGCAACAAGATCATTGCTGATGGGAATGCAAAATGAATGAATGGTACAGCCACTTTGGAAGACAGATTGGCAGACTCTTACAAAACTAAACATACTCTTACCATGTGATCAGCAGTCATGCTCCTTAGTATTCACCTAAAATAGTTGAAAATATATGTACACACAGAAACTTGCACATGGATGTTTTTAGTGGCTTTATTCATAATTGCCAAAATTTGGAAGCAACCAAGATGTCCTTCAGTAAGTGAATGAATAAATAAACTGTGGCATATCCAGACAATGGAATGTTATTCTGTGCTAAAATGAAAACTGCTAAATAAAGGCATGGAAATACATGGAACATTAAATGCATATTACAAGTCAAAGAATCCAATCTGAGAAGGCTGCATACTTTATGATTCCAGCTATGTGATGTTCCAGAAAAGGCAAAACAACTATAGAGACAGTAAAAAGATCAGTGATTGCTAGGGGCTAGAGGGCAGGGAGGGATGAACAGGTAAGCACAGAAGATTTTTAGGGAAGTGTAACTATTTGGTATGAAACTACAATAGTGAATACATGTCATTATACATTTGTCAAAATTTGTAGAAAGTACAGAACCAAGGATGAACCCTAATGTAAATTTTGGGCTTCGAGTGATAATGATGTCTGTGTAGGTTCCTCAGTTACAGTAGATGTACGTTGTGGCACACGACTCTGATGGCAGGCGAGGTTATGCATGTATGTGTACATGGGTATATGGGAACTCTTGTAAATTATGCTCAATTTTGCTGTGAACCTAAAACTCTAAAAAATAATGTTATAAAAATTTTTTTTTACCTTGAAAGACCTACCAAAACAAACCAAAAAACTTGGGGAAATGTTTGTAAATGTATGACAAGCCTAATAACTGATTTCTAAATTTAAAACTTACAAATAAAGAGGGAAAAGACAGTAGTTAATAGAAAAGGGACATAAAGAACATGAGTGCACTGTTTATAAAAAAATAAAAATAAGTAAAAATTTTTAAATATCAGAGTTGCCACATTTAAACCTTTCAAATTGTTACATGTCAGAAGGTAGTGACATGGCATGAAGAAACACTCATAAATTGTTGGTGGGTCTAAACATTTGGGGAGGGTACTTTGGTACTTATAAAAGTTTAACTTCGCATTCCTTTTGATCTAACATTTCCTTGTTGAAAAAATGTATCCTACAAATATCTGCGAACTTGTATGCAAGGTTATGTGCACAAGGATTTCTCTAGATGTTTTAGCTGCAAGTAATAGAAACTAGCTTTAAATAGTGAGATCATTACTTCTCATAACTGGAAGTTCCAGACTTCAGTAGAAGCATGTATATACGAATAACTAATAAGTTAATCATCATTTAACCTGGCTCTGTTTAAGAAAAAAGTTTCTAAAAACTTTTGTTAGCTAATAAATTTTTAGCTTAATTTAACTTCTAAAAATTTTATATATGATTTTAATCAACTTTTCATAATATATAGTTCTAACTTCTATCACATCTGACTGGACTCCTCTTAGTCTAAATTAATGAACTGTGACTCTACTAGTCACTTCTTATAAGTATTTAATAGAGGGAGTAAACAGTTAAAAGATACGAAAAATTGGGCACTTTCCTCCATTTCTAATAGTGGCTTTGTTTATTTTATCTCAACTTCAGGAAACAGCAGTGAGTTTTAGTTCATTGTTCTAAATATATTTTGACCTTTCATAGCTGTACCTGTTGTGACTTGCCAACAGATTTTTCAAACTGAAGAATAAAAAAAGAACATAAGAACTTTGTTATGGAAGGCTGTTCTGTCTTCTCAAAAATCATTATCACCTGTTCTTTATTTTTGATTCATCTGTTTATGTGGGAATTGCTGTTTCACCTGTGTTGCCTGGTATTTTAGGTCATGGTTATAGTGTGGAGAGGGGAGAGGTCCACCGGGGGCATCTGACCTCATTCTACATCTATGCCATTGCTATATTTTTAAAGCTTGGGGGCTGTAAGTCATGCTTTTTTGGGTAACATTTTCAAAATATGTAGAGAATAATGATAAGAAAACAAAATGTATCCTACAATTATAATATGATTATTTAACAACAGTTTACAACAAATACGTTTTAAAATTTAGTTGCGTGAAATTGAGTGAAGTAATCTCAGTCACTGTTCTTCTTGTGTCTGTGGTTCTTCCTTCTTTTTCTCATTTTATGTGTTTGTGCCCCCTCCTCCCTTATTTTCTTGATTAGATTTAGCAAGTTTACCTAAAACTGGAAGAAATGAATACTTTTCTAATAAATATAATTTACTGAAACTGACTCCAGGAAATAGAGCTGTCTGAACAGTCAGCCTTCATAGAAGAAATAGAGAAGTGTCTTAGAATAAACCCTAGAAAATTTTTAACTGCAAAGAATTTCACATGGGAATTCCACTGAAATATTAAAGAATATGGTATTCCAATGCTAAGTAGTTTAAATAAACTGTTACAGAGCATAGAAAAGACTTAAATCTTCTAGCTTGTCTTTATGAGACAGCGTAACATTTGTGCTTGGAACATAAATCTGCAGACCAGTATTGCGAAGGATTATTGATGCAGAATTCCTAAATAAAGAATTTTCTCTCTCTCATCCTCACAGCCAGCATCATACTTATTGGGCAAATACTAGAAGTAGTTCCTTAAAGTTAAGAGTAAGCCAAGAATTTCTGGTATCACCACTGTTTTATCAAAATGTGACATGCCCCAAAATGATTGGTAAATTATATCACATAAAAGTTTTTTTAATACTGCTTAATCAAAATTGGGGTGAAGAATCATAAGCCAGATGACCAAATATTTGCATCCCATACCATGAAAGGACTAATATCACTAAAACATAAAGAGCCTTCTGTAAATCAGTGAGAAAAGTGATCAACACCACAATAGAAAATTGAGCAAAAGAAAAGAACAGACTATTCACAGGAAGGAAATAAAATATAAACAAGTATACAACTGCTCAATGTCATTTATAAGAGAAATACAAATTAAAACTATACTTGTTAAGACCTTGTTCTTACTTATCAACAATAGCACACGAGCCTCCCCTATTTACGTTGTTGCTGGGAATGTAAACTGGTACAACCTCTATAGATGACAATTTTGGCAAAATTTATCAAATTACAGATGGACAGCCCTTTGATTTGGCAGTTTCTCTTTTAGAGCCTACCCTTCAGATACAATTGAGAATATGCATAATGTGCGAGATTAGTTATTGGAATCTTGGTTCTTAAAGCAAAAGATTGAAGATAACCTGAATATCCATCAATATGGGGTCATAATATTCCATAATGTAATGTTATGCAGCTAATAGATGAGTGGATGGATGGATGGATAAATAGTTACATAAGTAAAAGGGAAACATATCAACATCTCTGATAGAATAAGTAATATAAAATCAAAATTCAGAACTGTGTTACCATTTGTACATAAAAAGCAGAAGGCACAGAACACAATATATTTGCTTATGTGGTTTGAAGAATATTTCTGGAAAGGTACACAAAGAACTGGCAACATTGGACGCCTTTGGAAGAGGGTAGCTTGAAGCCAGGACTGTTTTGTATCTTTTATATATTGAAGCTTCCAAAATTAAACTTCCATTAAGCAGTTGTATATTTTGAATCCTTGGTATGTAAATTATCTGTATTATCTGTGACCATTACAACCAGATGCAATCAGGTTTATTATTATTTGGTCAGAACTTATGGAAATACTTTTACAGCTGTTTTAAAATTGAATCTTTTGTTTCAGGATCTCCAGCAGAACTATCTCCTACTACTCTTTCC